TGTTAGATTCCCAGAAGCTAAGGCTAGACTCTTCAGCACAGTGTTAGATAAATACTGTTCACATCATATTCTCCAATTCCAAGAACACCATTACTTAATTCCTGGCAAGTTTCAGTGTAATTGAGTAAGTTGCAGCTTCTTTATACAGCTGCTGTTAGCCAACTTCCTGGGAACACCATGATCTCTTAATGAAGATCCTAGAAACAAGCATGCTTTCCCAATTGTAGTGGGCCAATCAACTGCTATTATTATTATTATTATTATTATTATTATTATTATTATTACTATGTGCTTTTTAATTTCTATTATCCTTTCCTCTCACCCACCACTTAGCAATCGGTGGATACTCTCTTTATACATTACCCTCAGGGCAGGATCATCCAGGCAGAACAAAAGCTACGGGTTAGGAGCTACCAAGAACACCGGTAGATCTACACAGAGACCATGGTCTGCAGGCCATGGCTTCCTGTTGTAAGTGGCAGGTGTTTGAGAGAATAAAAGAGGGTTTCTCCATTTTTTTTTTTTTCTTTTAAGTATCAGAGGCTTTACTTTGAATATCAAGATCCAAACCCCTGGAATTCAGAAATCTTATAAACCATTGATGAGAGAAGAATTTAAATGTAGACTAAAAGCATATAAAATTTTAATAAATAAGAAAAAATAAAAGTCATAGAGAATACAACTGGGATTCAGACACGGATAAGTCCCTGATATGATGCCCAGATCTCCAACCCCAATACCAGCTTCCGAAGGGAACATGGGGAGCACCAAGTTAGATATCCAGATAGAAACCCCAGAAAAAGCTGATGGGGGTCTCTAAAAGATAAGGGCCAGAGCCTGGCTTCCTGGTGAGATGCTAACTTCCTGAGAGACTGCAAGCTTTAGAGAAGACTATGTCCAACATGGCACCCGAGTAATAGAAGAACAACCGCCGAGGCAATTAGTAGATGGGCCTCAGAGAACCCCGCATACCCCAGTAGGGTATCAAAACTGGAACGAAGAGGTACTACATGCCTGTAAAGTGCAGTCAGACCAGAAGAGTCTGATCGATAGAAGACAGCAAAGTATATGAATATGACAACTGAAAGCCATGATAAAGCCAGAGTCATCACTGTCCATGCAGCAGGAAGAGCTGAGATGTCCAAGACCAGTGGGACAGTCACACCTCAGCAGAGGCCAGCACAGACAGAAAATACCTTAGCTTAGCTTTACCTCATCCCACCCTACACCATGTTATAGCTGAGAGGACATGAGGAACATGATGGAGGGAATCTGAATTTCAAACTTGAGGCAACTGAAGCACCTTATTATCTACCATTGGCAGAGATTAGAACTAAAAAGTAAAGTTAAATTTTATTTCAGAGAAATAATATTACATTTTTTCATACCTGGGTACATAGCCTGACACTGTCATATATGTAAAATATCAAACCTGAAACTAAGCAACAAATCCTTTGAACCAAGTCTGTTCTGTATATGGCTTTTCAAAACAAGTATGTGTTAATTTTTACCACCTTCTTCTTGAGAGAACTATTTCCTGTTTGAGATTGCTGAATTTAAATTTGAAGCCGTGCTTGAGGCCTGTCATAACTTAACACATCTTTACACATTGTCCTCAAATATCTTGCAAGTATGTGTCATTGCTATGCCAAGTCTGAGATTTGATTTTATCCTGCATACAAGGTAATAAGTTACCCTGTTAGTATTTCAAGGCTCCTGGGTCAAAGACAAAGGACTTTATTCCTTACAGCATAATAAGAAGCATGAGTATCAGTATATTTGACCTCAGGACCCACAGGGCCATCATCATTGGCCCAGATGGATAATAAACTCACAGTGGGTTTGTGTAACAACTGAGTTTGAAGAATCCATATTTTTATAGCAAACCTTAAGCAAGACTTATTGTTTGGGGGAGCATGTTACCCAGTCTTGCTAGGTTATCAACTGCATAAACAACCCTGAGAAGTGACCCAGGTAAGAGTGGTAAGGACTTTGCAGGGTTAGTACATCCAGCATGATGTGTAGGAATAGAAGAGGCCCAAAGAGAACTGTCTTCCCAATGTGCAGGAGAGGAAACTTAGTGATTCAGGCTAAAACATGGTATTATGGGCAAAGTGCCAAACCAAAAGCCTAAAGGAGCTGGGCTCCATCTTATTCTGCCATGTGGTGGCCATGTGATATGGTCAAAACCTGTTCTCATCTCTAAAATGAAAGTAATAATACAGGTCTTGCCCACCACAAGGGTTGCTATTAAGACCAAATGAGCTACTTTTTGTGAAATCACATTATTGACTATAAAACACTATATACATAAGACACTGTTATGTTTATCACAAATCCATCACCACCTTCTTTAACTCAAATTATATCAACTTAAAATCTTTTGTCCAGAGAAAAATGGGATGTAAACTGAAAAATAATCAAAGTACATAATTGTTGACTTCCAACTTACTATTACATTAATTTTCAGTTTTCTCTATGGTGTAAACTCCTTGAAGGATCTTTTCATGTTCAGCTTTCTATCTCTGGCAACCAGCACTATGCCAGTCACATAGCAATCATGGGTTTGATAATGGCATCTTGGTCTCCAACATAATTAAACCCATCAGAAGAGAGAACTAACTTTGACATAAATCTGTTTTGCAAAAGTTTATAAATAATAGATGAGGCCATGTCTCAAACATGCTAGCTAAAAATTCAGAACTTTGAGAACTGTCTGCAATTAGGGGGGTGTTATTTTTCCACCTCTACTTTTTAACAGCTTATATCAACAGCACACTTATGTTTGTCATTTTGTGCTCAAAATTTTTCTGTCCACCTTTTTCCATAATGTACAGCATTATCAACTGTTAAAATGGTAAAAATTTGACACATTAAATCAGTGATCTTCAAACTTTTTCACTCCTACTTTCTAAAAGAATTTTGAAAACCTATGTATCCCCCTACACATTTTCAAGTAGACACCTAAAATTTTCATCACAAATTGGAATAGCTTCAAAATATAATTTTCTAGCATATTGTAAATATTGATTTTTAAATGAAACATATATCATATTCTGTATACAATGCCTAAGCAATTTGATACCCATTCTCAATTAAAAACCTATAGACAAGGTCTTTATATATATATATCTTTATATATATAATATATATATATCTTTATTGATTTCATAGAGAAGGAGAGGGATAGAGAGATAGAAACATCAATGATGAGAGAGTCATTGATTGGCTACCTCCTACGCACCCCGACTAAGGATTAAGCCCGCAACCCGGGTATGTGCCCTGACCAGGAAACAAACCCTGATTGCCTAGATCCTGGGTCGACACTCAACCACTGAGCCACTCCCAGCCGGGCAAGACAAGGTCTTTCTGACAACTAGAAAATATTTATCATTTCCTTTTCTCCTCAATCTCATATTTCCTAAAAACTATGTTATTAATTTAATATATTTTTTATTTAAAAGATTTTATTTGGTCACCCTACTAATTTCTCTACAATAACAAAAATAATTATCTATAAATTGAAATTTAAACATTGTAATTTTGCATGACTATAAGGTTCTAAATATTTTTTAAAATTTCTGGATTGAGTTATCTTTACAATGATTTTTAGTACACAATTGACAAAAGGAACATAAATGTATAATATATTTTGAGAAATAATTATCAAACATACCAACTAAAGTTTTATATAAAAATTAATCTAAATGAATAGATGGAACTTTTTAAATAAGTTCATGTATCTTTGGCTGTTAATTACTGTTTGAATGAGACAGGATTTTGCATCAATTCTACTCTTATTTTTCATTTTTATAGACATAAACCCTGAGAAAATTTGTTCAGTTAAATAAGTAATGAGACTTCTAGATATTTTCTCATGCAAATATCACTCTATTATTTGATTATAAGTTAAAAGTGCATAGTGATCTATTATCAAAAAATAGACCTTATCTGTTGACAACTTTAATTTTATTGAAAGCAAAGAATTGAAAATCATTTAATTTACAAAAAAAAAAAAAAAAATTGTTACCCAGTAACTAGAGTTCTTTACTTTCTCAGTTTCTAGGAAGAATGACCCAAAAAGGTTTAATCAAGACTTATCACATGAGTATCAATTACACTGTTCATTTTTACTCAGAGGCATTTTGCTTATGGAGCTAAAATAGATAAAACTGGAGTTAAAAACAAAATTATAAATTGTTCATTTTAATGCTTTCTTTTTGCGAACAAAGACTTATACATTAATGTCACATTTCATTTTTTAGAGACATCTCAAAATGCATAGTAAAGATATGAGAGAAAGACAGACAAAGACACTGGAAGATATTCATTTTTATTTAGTGATTCCTTCTCATGGTTGAAGCCAATTATGTTTATATAATTATATATTTCATAAAATTGGAGTCAATATATCAATATTTGAAAAGGAGAAATTAATACTAATTAAATAAAGCTGATTTTCTTAGATCATTTTATAATAGATTTGTGTATGGGAAAATTTTATTTGCTTTTGAACCTAAGTAGATGTTCTACTTTTAAGAGTATAATTTAGGGTGAGTTCAAGGAGACTAACTTTGGGGTGTGTCCCTCATTGATGCTCTGGATGGGCAGTGATCCAAGTTTGGGCTGGAGACAGGCAGAGGAGAGAAAATCCTAGGAGCATGCCCATTGAGGATGGAGTGAGGCATCGGGTGTGACCGTTGTGAGGAAGAGGGTTGAAGGAAGGGACTCCATGGTTGTGGCTAGGTGCACGTTAAAGAACCAGCACCGCCTGACTGGGCGTAGCTCAGTGGTTGAGCATCGACCTAGGATCCAGGCAACTGGGGTTCTATTCCCGGTCAGGGCACATGCCCGGGGTTGCGGGCTCGATCTCCAGTCAAGGGCATGCAGGAGGCAGCTGATCAATGACTCTCTCATCATTGATGTTTCTATCTCTCTATCCCTCTCCCTTCCTCTCTCTGAAATCAATAAAGATATATTTAAAAAGAAAAAAAAAAAAGAACCAGCACCACCACTGACTCCAACTCCAAGTACTTCACAACCAATAAAAAAGGAGAAATCTTTGGATTAAAGGCTGAACTCGACAATGAAAAGAAGGAAAAGAGAAAGGAGGCCGTGAAGAAAGTGATTGCTGGGGAAGGATGTTAGCTCTCTCTTTCCAGATGTAGTGAACTGTATGCAGACTGACAACCTAGAACTAAAGAAGTGTGTATCTCTACTTGATGAACTATGCCAAGAGTCAGCCAGACATGGCTATCATGGCTGTCAACAGCTTTGTGAAGGACTGTGAAGATCCCAATCCTCTGATTTGGGCCTTGGCAGTCAGAACCATGGGTGCATCTGGGTGGACAAGATTACAGACTATCTCTCTGAGCCCCTCTGCAAAGTGCTTGAAGGATGAAGATCCCTACATTCAGAAAACAGCAGCAGTCTGCATGGCAAAACTCCATAATATCAATGCCCAAATGGTGTAAGTTCAAGGATTTCTGGATTCTCTGTGGGATCTCATAGCAGATTCAAATCCAGTGGTGGTGGCTAATGCTGTAGCAGTATTATCTGAAATCAGTGAATCTCACCCAAACAGCAACTTACTTGATCTGAACCCACAGAACATTAATAAGCTGCTGACAGCCCTGAATGAGTGCATTGAATGGGGCCAGATTTTCATCCTCAACTGCCTGTCCAATTACAACCCTAAAGATGACCAGGAGGCTCAGAGCATCTATGAGCAGGTAACTTCCCGGCTATATCATGCCAACTCAGCAGTGGTGCTTTCGGCAGTAAAAGTCTTAATGAAATTTCTAGAGTTGTTACCCAAGGACTCTGACTGCTAGAATATGCTGCTGAAGAAGCTGGCACCTCCACTTGTCACTTTGCTGTCTGGGGAGCCAGAGGTGCAGTACGTCGCCCTGACGAACATCAACCTAATTGTCCAGAAAAGACTTGAAACCTTAAAGCAGGAAATCAAAGTCTTCTTTGTGAAGTATAATGATCCCATCTACGTTAAACTGGAGAAGTTGGACATCATGATTCATTTGGCATCCTAAGTCAATATTGCTCAGGTTCTGGCAGAGCTGAAGGAATATGCCACAGAGGTGGATGTTGACTTTATTCACAAAGCTGTGCGGGCCATTGGATGGTGTGCCATCAAGGTGGAGAAATCTGCAGAACGTTGTGTAAGCACGTTGCTTGATCTTGTCCAGACAAAACTATGTGGTCCAAGAGGTGACTGTTGTCATCAGGGACATCTTCAGCAAGTACCAAAACAAGTATGAAAGTATCATTGCCACTCTGTGTGAGAACTTAGACTCCCTGAATGAGCCAGACACACAAGTAGCTATGATTTGGATTGTGGGAGTATATGCTGAACAAACTGACAATGCAGATGAGTTACTAGAGAGCTTTCTGGAGGGTTTTCATGATGAGAGCACCCAGGTGCAGCTCACTCTGCTTACTGCCATAGTGAAGCTGTTTCTCAAGAAGCCATTAGAAACTCAGGAGCTGGTACAGCAGGTCTTGAGTCTGGCAACACAGGATTCTGATAATCCTGATCTTCGAGATAGGGGTTATATTTATTGGTGGCTTCTCTCAATGGACCCTGTTACAGCCAAAGAAGTAGTCTTGTCTGAGAAGCCACTGATCTCTGAGAAGACAGATTTTATTGAGCCAACTCTGTTGGATAATCTAATCTGCCACATTGGTTCTTTGGCCTCTGTGTACCACAAGCCTCCCAATGCTTTTGTGGAAGGAAGACACAGAATCCATCACAAATACTTGCTAGTACATCATGAGAGCACTGATGCAGGTGACAGTCCTGTTGGCACCACCACTGCCACCAAACTGGAACAGACTCAGGTTATTCCCTCTCAAGGTGATCTTCTAGGGAACCTTTTAAACCTTGACCTCAGTCCCCCAGTCAAAGTGCCACAGGTATCCTCCATGCAGGTGGGAGCAGTGGATCTCTTGAGAGGAGGGCTAGATAGTCTGCTTGGCAGTGACCTTGGTGGGGGCATTGGAGGAAGCCCGGCAGTGGGACAATCCTTCATTCTGTCATCAGTGCCTGCAACCTTTGCTCCTTCACCTACTCCTGCTGTGGTCAGCAGTGGTCTGAATGATCTGTTTGAACTCTCTACAGGGATAGGCATGGCACATGGTGGTTATGTGGCTCCTAAGGCTGCCTGGCTGCCTGCAGTAAAGGCTAAAGTCTTGGAGATTTCTGGAACATTTACTCATCGTCAGGGGCACATATATATGGAAATGAACTTCACCAACAAAGCTCTGCAGCACATGACAGACTCTGCAATCCAGTTTAACAAGAATAGCTTTGGTGTCATCCCCAGCACTCCTCTGGCCATCCATACACCACTGATGCCAAATCAGAGCATCGATGTCTCCCTCCCTCTCAACACCTTGGGCCCAGTCATGAAGATGGAGCCTCTGAATAACCTACAGGTGGCTGTGAAAAACAATATTGATGTCTTCTACTTCAGCTGCCTCATCCCACTCAATGTGCTTTTTGTAGAAGATAGCAAAATGGAGTGTCAGTTCTTCCTTGCAACATGGAAGGATATTCTCAATGAAAATGAACTTCAGTTTCAGATTAAGGAATGCCATTTAAATGCTGACACTGTTTCCAGCAAGTTGCAAAACAACAAGGTTTATACTATTGCCAAGAGGAATGTGGAAGGGCAGGACATTCTGTACCAGTCTCTGAAGCTCACTAATGGCATTTGGATCTTGGTTGAGCTATGTATCCATGGTATTAAGGAGGAAAAAAATCTGGTTGGGCCAATAAGGGTGCATGAAGATTGATGGTCCCTTAGTCGCCTAAGAGAGAATACTGTCACTGAAGTGTAAAGCCCCTGAAGTCTCTCAGTACATCTATCAGGTCTATGACAGCATTTTTAAAAACTAATAGACTGCTCCTGTGCCCTCCGGCTATCCTGTGATCAGTGCAAGCCAAGAACTCTTAACTGAAAGAAATTGTGTTTTCGTGTAGAATCTGAACCTAAATACACTGAGGCCACCTGCCAAGGTAGTGACTAGTCTAACCTGTGCTAAATTAGGGCACAACCTGTTGGATAGTGTTAACTTCCTGTGAACGTTTGTAACCACTGCTTCAATCACTTCCCACCTCTTGCCACCTGCTACTGCTGTTTGTCCTTACTTGTGGGTTTCTCCATACTGGGCCAATGGCTGGCAATTTTGAGCATAGGTTGATATTTTGTAATTGAGAGCTCATTTCAAAAGCAGAAAAAGACAAAAAATATTAAAGCAAAGAAAAGTGTCACTGAAACATAAAAAAAAAAAAAGAGTATAGTTTAAATACTTTATGTAAATTCACAACAAGAGAAAGAACTCAGTCACAAGGAAGGACAGCCTTACAAAAAGTACATTAATAATTATTGAGCATCATGATGTCTAAGTGCACTTCCAGAAGTTGCTGCAGTTTCTTGACAACAAGCAAACCCCACAAAGTCCATGTGTAATGTCATGAGTCACAAGATGGTTCACTTTGACCCACTCCATGAGGACATGTCCATGCAATATTTCATCCTAGCCTTGTCATAGCACTGCCTGACCACAGTGAAGCCCAGGGACCTCTGTTGTGACCCGGAAAGGAAGCTGGGTGATGCCTATAGTCATTTATCTGCATCCTCACAGCAGCAAACATTCTGTACATTTCCCTTATTTTTCCCTCTGTACTATTTTAACCAGAAATTGAGTTAATGAAACGCATTTAGATAAACATATTACTTCATATAAAAAAAAAAAAATTATTAAGCAGAGATCCAAGATGGATATGGAGTAGGTGAAAGCTAAACTCACCTCCTCCCAGGACTAAACTGGAATTACAACTAAATTATAGAACAATCATCCTGAATAACCAACTGAAGACTAGCTGAAGAGAAGGCTTACAACCAAGGACTTACAGGAGAAGCCACGTCAAGATTGATAAGAAGAGCAAAGATGCAAAAGAGGCTGGCCTTGCTCCCACAGGCAGTGGCTGAGGTTCTAGAGGGATATCTCAGGTGTGGGGGAATTTCCCTGAGAAGCATCAGGTCTAAACTCCAAGCCAAGCTCCATAGCCCAGAGCACCAGAGCCAGAGAGAGGAGCCCACATAACATCTGACTGTGAAAAGCAGAGGGATTTTTGTCCCCCAGAAAGAGATGGGAGTCTGTTGAAGACATAGGCACTTTCTTAAAGGACCAATGCACAAAATTTCATTCATAGCCACTTGCCCTGGGCTCCAAGGAAGGGAGGGTGGAGCAGAGTAGAAGCACAGAGTAGTAGGAGCAGAAGAGAGACAGGGGTCTGTGGCTCTGGGGAGGTAGTTGAAGGGACAGCCACCAGGATACCTCTGTTGAGTCATTGCCCATACCACAGAAGCCATCTTTCTTGAGTGAAACACTCTCCTCCATGTAGCATCAGCCTGGGGAAAGCAATAGCCCCACACTCTGGACTCCTTTTCATCCCACCTGGTGGAGCTCCCTCTCTGCCCTGCTGAGAAGTACAAACAGAGGCTTCAGTAACTGAGCCTAAATGGCACCCAGCAGGCAGAGGTAGGCTGGGGCAGATCTTGGGGTTCCAAGGGATTTTTGCTGATCTGCCCCTGGGCCATGTGCTGGTAAAATCTGGCCTTGGAGACCAGCTTGCTACTTCCTACATGCACTTAGCGCCAGGAGAGGAAGCCACAAGCTGTTAATTGCTTATAGCTCCAAACAAGTTATCCAGGATGAGTTACAGGAAGTGCCTGACACTGGCCTGCACAAGAGTCCCTCCTAAGAAACCCAGAACCAGCACACCCAGTGACCAGCTTCATACAACATCAGAGCAGGTCCCAATAAATTTCACAAACAGCATATCCAAAGGAAGATCTCAGCAGGCACCAAACCCTGCTGAGTTGAAATCTGATTCATGTTGTCAGCATCTGCACAGCAGCAAGCCCACTGTGGTTTGGGTTGAGCCTCACAGTCAGCCAGCCTCAGGGTCAATCCCATATAAAAACAGGTGAATAGCAATCAAGACTCGATTACAACAAGAGGGTCTACATAACCCACACAGGAACATTCCTGGAGCAGCCAGCTGAGGTGATCAAAGAGACTACACCGCTGGACCCCACAGGATATTTATTAATAAGGACACCCTATGAAGATTGGGAGTCATAGCAGCTCTTTCTAATATATAGACACAAACACAAAAAGGCAGCAAAAATGGAGAAACAAAGAAACAGGCCCAAGATGAAAGAACAGGAGAAATATTCATAAGAAATGTTAAGTGAAATAAAGGCAAGAAATATATCAGATATAAAGTTCAAAGTAATGGTTATAAGGATGTCCAACAGCATGAAAAAGGACATAAAAGCCATACAAAAGAACCAGTCAGAAATAAAGAATACAATATCTGAAATGAAAACTACACTGGAAGAAATAAACAGTAGGTTGGATAAAGAAAAGAATCAAATTAGCAATTTGGAACACAAGGTAGAAAAAACACACCCAGTCAGAACATTAAAAAGAAAAAAGAATTTTAAGAAATGAGGAGAGTTTAAGGGACCTTTGGGACAACATGAAGTGTAACAACATCTACATCAGAGAGGTTCCAGAGGAAAAGAGAGAGCAAGGGATCAAGAATGTATTTGAAGGAATAATGACCAAAAACTTCCCTAACATGATGAAGGGAAAAGACACACAAGTCCTGGAAGTGCAGAGAGTCCCAAACAAGATGGACCCAAAAAGGCCCTCACCAAGACACATCATAATTAAAATGGAAAAAGTTAAAGATAAGAGAGACTCTTAAAAGCCACAAAAGAAAAACAGTTAGTTTCCTACAAGGGAGCTCCCATAAGACTGTCAGTTGATTTCTCAGCAGAAACATTTAGGCGAAAAGGGATTGGCATAAAATATTCAAAGTAATAAAAAGCAAGGACCTACGACCAGGACTACTTTACCCAGCAAGGCTATCATTTAAAATTGAAGGAGAAATGAAGAGTTTCCCAGACAAGAATAAGCTAAAGGGGTGTGATACCACCAGACCAGTATTACGTTAAATGGCCTTCTAAAAGAAGGAGGAGGAGGAAGAGGAGGAAAAAGAGGAACATAATTAAAAGAATAAAATGGCAATAAATACATACCTATCAATAATCACTTGAAAGGTAAATGGCTTAAATGTTCCAATCAAAAGGCATAGGGTAGCCAAATGGATAAGAAAACCAGGTCCGTATATGTGCTGCCCGCTACAGACCCACCTCAGAATGAAACAGACTAAAAGTAAAGATTGAAAAGAGATATTTCATGCAAATGGAAATAGTTATAGCAGACGAGTAGACTTCAGTTTATTTATTTTTATTTGTCTTTATTGAAAGTATTCAGATGTCCCCCTTTTTCCCCCATTGATCCCCTCTTCCCTGCATCCACTCCACTCCCAGGCCTTCCCCATAACAATGTCTGTGTCCATGGATTATGCTTATAGACATATAAATTCTTTGATTAATTTTTCCCCACCCAATCCCCCACCCCCACTTTCCCGCTGAGATCCCTCAGTCTGTTCCATGCTTCTCTGTCTCTGGATCTATTTTGTTCATCAGTTTATTTTGTTTATTACATTCCACATATGAGCAAGATCTTGTAGTACTTGTATTTATTTGACTGGCTTATTTTGTTAAGCATAATACTCTCCAGTTCCCTTCAGGCTATCCCAAAGGATAAGTTATCCCTTTTTACAGCTGCATAGTATTCCATGGTGTAAATGTACCACAGCTTTTTTATCCACTCATCTACTGATGTGCACTTGAGAAGAATGTATATTCTGCACCTTTGGGGTGGAATATTCTGTAAATATACATATAATTCCATCTCATCTAGTGTGTCATTTAGGGTCACTGTTTCCTTGATGATTTTTTATCTGGAAGACATATCCAGAGAAATCAGTGGGGTGCTAAAGTCCCCTAGTATGACTGTCTTGCTGTCGATCTTTCCTTAAAGTCCTCTAGAAGTTTTATTTTATAAATTTAGGTGCTTTTATATTGGGTGCATATATGTTTATCAGGGTTATATCCTCTTGTTGGATCAATCCCTTTAGTATTATGTAGTGACCTTTCTTATCTCTCATTATGGTCTTCATTTTGAAGTCTATTTTGTCAGATATGAGTATTGCTACCCCAGCTTTTTTTTTTTTTTTTCATTTCCATTTGCATGGAAAACTTTTTTCCATCCCTTCACTCTCATCCTGTGTGAGTTTTTGTTTTGAGGTGGGTCTCTTGTAGGCAGCATATACCTGGGGTCATGTTTCTTATCCATTGAGACACCCTATGTCTTTTACTGGAGTATTTAATTCATTTACATTTAAGGTCATTATTGATAGGTACTTATCTGTTGCCATTTTAATTCTTTATGCCTCTACTTCTCTTTCTCTCTATTTCTACTTCTAATTACAGCAGTTCCTTTAACATTTCCTGCAATGCTGGTTTGGTGGTCATAAACTACTTTAGCCTTTTTTGTCTGGGAAGCTATTGAATTCACATCTATCTTAAATGATAGTCTTGCTGGATAGTGTAGTGGTTTCAGATCCTTGTTTTGCATTACCTTGAATACTTCATGCCATTCCCTTCTGGCCTGTAGAATTTCTGATGAGAAGTCAGCTGACAGCCTTATGGGAGCTCCTCTGTAAGTAACAGATTGCTTTTCTCTAGCTGCCTTTAAGATTCTCTCTTTGTCTTGAATTCTTGGCATTGTAATTATGATGTGTCTGGGTGTGGGCCTTTTTGGATTCTTCTTGCTTGGGACCCTCTGTGCTTCTTGAACTTGTGTGACTTTTGTCTTCACCGGGTGAGGGAAGTTTTCTGTCACTATTTCTTCAAACAGGTTTTCTAAATCTTCCTTACTTTCAACCTCTTCTGGTACTCCTATAATGCT